CAGTTCATGTTGGCAGCAGAGAGCAAGGCAAATGTCCTTGATGCAGACAAACGTTAAGGTTCAGGGTGTTTTAAGTGAAAATGTGTCACTGCTGCTGATATTAATATATTAATCCATTTACAATCTCACTAATGTCGTTAAAAACTGACAGCTCCAGTCAAACAGTTATGGTTGCACTCTTATGGTAAATATTCAAGACAGGAACATGAACTCAAAGAGGTAGGATGAGCTGAGCAGCTGTAAAAAAAGAAGAAAAAAAAAAGTTGTGTGAGTGACATACTCTGAGGTTGATCCAAAATTCATGACATTTTTCATCATCACTAATAAAAAATGACTCCGTAGAATCCAGCTGGCGCTCAGACTTGACTTTCAGTAGTTATTTACCATTCACATAAAACCCTACAGCAGAAACTAATGGAGGTAATTATGTACAGTTTGCTTGAGGTTTCCACCAGCGTCAGATGAGACACTAAAGAAAATACTGACAAAAACACTCCCTCAACACCGCACTGGTTCTCAACACCCCGCCATTCATGCTTCAGATATTCACCAAAGAAGTCAATGACAATCAACAAACAGGAAAAAAAATTGGGTTTCAAACGGGACATTTTTAAAAGAGACCGTATTCAGTATTACAGAAGTAACTTTGTTCAAACTGCTTCTTAAAAGAGCCTTTTCAATACCAGTGACAGCTTAGACTACAGCTACTCCAATCAGGTGGGATGCAGAAGTAATGCACAAACACTGACCCGACTGTCAAAATGAATTCTGTTTAACGAGGTAACCGTCACAGTTTGACTTCATCGGCAACCCAGATTCTAACTCGACTGTTCTTAGTTCGTCTAACTAACAGTGAGCACTGCGGTGATGTGTATTTAACTCTTCCCTTTGTCCTCGCCTTCCTTCGGGCTTTCTGTCTGCAGGTGGCCGACCTGTACTGCTCGGCCTGCGACGTTGCGCTGTGTGAAGACTGTGTGTCGGAGCATGAAGAGCACCCGAAGGTGGCCCTCAGCCAGGCCCTGGAGCAGCACCGCAGCAGCCTGCAGGAGAGGCTGGGCTCCGTCCACAACAGGTGCTGGAACACTGACTGGACCGACCGGTTATTGCTGCCTGATCCTGATGTTGCTCCAGTGTGCAGTGGCACTGATTTCCATTTACTAAAAAAAAAAAACAACCCACAACTCCAAGCTCCTTTTTGTCCTCTAAAGTGCGAAGGTGTGTCACTGGTTGCTAGAAATGGCAAAGTTCATCTCCTGTATACCATTGTTATGCTGCTGTTCGATAGCGGAGGTTTTGCACCTTCATGTGAAATGAACCCTGACTCTCACGTCTATGCTTTGTGCAGTGCATTGGCATAGAAGGCCGCCACATAATAACTGCTGACAAACAACAAAATGTTCCCGAATGCCATGAACGTCACCTGCCTAACTGACTTTTTTTTTTAGATTTTGCTCTTTTGAAGGATCTGAGTTTTTTCGTGAAGTGTGACAACATTTGAATCCTGAAGTTGCACCCAAAATGTTCTAAATTTAAATTAATAAATCACCAAACGCAGCCCGCACGATTCTCCAGCGGGAAAGAGGCAGATGACAGGAGCGGAGAAAACACAAAAATTTGCAAAAAAATTAAAAATAAAATAACCCTGAATCGCTGCAGGGTGGCGCAGTTGGTAGCACTGTTGCCGGTTCACGTCCCGGTGAGGACACCAGAATCTTTCTGCGTGGAGTCTCCATGTTCTCCCCGTGCAGCGTGGGTTCTCTCCGGGTTCTCCGGCTTCCTCCCACAGTCCAGAAACATGCTGAGGTTAATTGGTGATTGTAAATTGTCCGTAGGTGTGAATGTGAGTGTGCTTGGTTGTCTGTCTCTAAGTGTAGCCCTGTGATAGACTGGTTACCTGTCCAGGTGAACCTGCCTTCACCCTGAGTCAGCTGGGATAGGCTCCGCCCCCCATAACCCTGGTGAGGATTAAGGTGTAGAGATGATGGATGGATAACCCCGAATCACCAAGATGCCAATTCGCAGATAATTAAAATCAGAAAACTCCCGCAAATGTGCAGACAGGACATAAAAAAGATAACTTTACGTTAACATTCAGAGGATGTTTGGCAGATGTGGTCACGACAACAAAGGGAGAACGTTCTCAAACCAACATTCAAAAAGCTACTTTCAGCATGTCAACAGACCTCAGATGTTTTCTTTACATTTACAGACATTGTCGGACCTTTTGCAGATCTTTCCTCAAATGGTTTTGAAACAACAGATTTCCAGCCTGGTCATTTTTCAAAAGAGTCCCAATGACAGAATTCCCATTTACAATCAATAATCTTGCTATTGAGGGTGATGACCCTCGCTCTGTGAAACAAATCGAACAATGCATCTATCTACGAGTATTGTGGCAACTTTCTGAGTTTCTTTCACACAAGTTCGGGAGAGCAAAATATCAAAAAGACTCTTAAGTAAAAGTACCAGTTCATTAATTATCGTTGTTCCTGTAACTACAGTTGCTACAGGTGACACTAATGCCGATGAAGCCACATGCCACTGTGTCGTCTCATTTTGAAAACTGCAAGTTTTTGCTATGTTGTAATAAGTTTTCTATGTACATCAAAGTAGCTTCGGTGTAACAGAGTAAAATATACAACATTTACCTCTGAATTGTGGTGCAGCACAATCGTAAAACAGTTTAATATGAAAATACTCAAGTCAGGTGCAAGTACAGTTAGTGGGATAAAGAGGAGATGCTGACATCTAGTGGACAGCCAGAGAAATGCAGCACAACAATTTATCAGGATATTCAATTCAAAGGGGGCTTTACTGTCATTTCAACCACATACAGCTGTACAGTACACAGTGAAATGAGACAGCGTTTCCCAGATCCAGAGCTGAAGTGTTAGTGCAAAGAATGCAGTGCAAAAAGATAAGATAAAATAAAATAACACAAAAAATGGAATAAAATAGGAATAGAAAGGATATAAATGTCAGACAGAAACGTCAACATTTTATACATATACAATAAAAATGAAAGAGCAAACCACACATTCATACTAGTTCAACACATGAATACTTAATGTGTTGAAGCGCTGAGAAAGCCTTATCTTTTGGTTAATTTACCTGACTTTAAACTTCTTCTTTGACTCCTGTCTAGACTCCCTCAGATTTCAGATGCGCTGTCCTTCGTCAAAGAGATCCTCCAGCAGCTGACCAATCAGAGAGCTTCCATCGAGGAGGACATCCAGTCGAGCTTCGAGGACCTGCACAAGCAGCTGGATGTTCGGAAGAGTGTTCTGCTGATGGAGCTGGAGGTCACATATGGACTCAAGCAGAAGGTGCACATATGTGCACGCAATTTTTATGCCGCCGGGATACTTCACTCAATAAAATGCATCGAACAAAACAACAAAACCCCATAAAGGTCGGCTCTCTCTGTCTCCAGGTCCTTCAAGCGCAGGTGGACAGCCTTGTCCGGGGAGAGGGGGACATCGCGGCCACTTGTACCCAGACGGAGGAGGCCCTGGCTGGGGAGGCGTGCGTGGCGAGCCTGCAGCTGGAGCAGGAGCTGCGGGAGAGGCTGGGGGAGCTGGTGGGTCTGGGCTTGCCATGCCAGCCGGAGGAGAACGACCAGCTGGATCTGGTGATGGAGACGGACGGGCTGAGGAAGTCCATACACAACCTGGGGACCATTGTCACGACCAGGTGAGACCATGGCGACACCTTTTAACACCATTTAAACATCATTAAACACCATCTCACCCTTCCCCATCTTCCTCCTCTTCTTCAGCGCTGTGGCGAGCCAAAGCGAAGCCATGGGGGCCGGCCTGGAGCAGTGTGTTGTGGGACATCCTGCTTCGGTTACCATCGTAACAAGGGACAAGTCAGGGGGAGCGTGCAAGAGTGGTAACGCAATCCTATCAGCTGAGGTATGTTTTTATGCCCACAATCGAGCACAACTTTGTTGAAACACGAGCAAAAAATAAATTAGAATGACACAACATCATGCAGGTGTTCACCCCGGATGGCAGCATAGTAGATGGTGAGATCGTGGACCACAAGAACGGGACGTATGAGTTTGTGTACATAGTGCCGAAGGAGGGTGACTTCTCGCTGGCTCTCCGACTGTACGACCAGCACATCAAGGGAAGTCCTTTCAAGCTGACCATCACCAGGGTCTCAGAGGCAGAGGTAGAGGTGCGTTGAGCTATCTTTTATTTTGGAGTCAAAAAGAAGCATGCCTACTTTCCGCCTAACATTTCTACAACTAATGACTGATTTGCTATCACTCTCAGCTGTGATGTACAGTTAAGGCAAGGGTAAAGTGTTCAGAACTGTCAAAACGCTCAGACAGAAGGACGAAATGAAAACTTTCTGTAATAGAGAAGGCAAGAGGCAAAAACTGCCGGGTTAGCCCATTCAACGCACACATTCACAGATGTAGAATTAGTCCGATGAAGAATGTATAATAAGAGAGAAACATCATCCATATGGCAAAGGAACTGTTCGCACATCTATGAGTGTACTTTAAAGAGTTCTTGGCCTCACCAGAAAGATTTATCTTGCATTACTTCTCAACATAGTCTCCTTTAACTTCATGCTCGAGTGCTTGCAAAGGTAGCCATGAGTTTCAGGCAAGCCTCTTTTGCACTGCAGTACAATGTATGGATATGCGTATGCTAGTGTGCCGAAGGTCGAGGTTCGTGAAGAACAATTGTGAAACAAATGTGTATTTTTTGTGCCATCGCAGAAAACAAAGATACAAGGGACCAAAGTGAGTTTCCATTGTAGGGCAGCTGGGCTCAGCCTTAGAGATAAGGTGGGGGCATCAGGCAACCAGAGAGAACTCAAACTAGAGTTGCGAGTCCTTCATGTCCACATGAGCCTGCCAAAGTGGTTCCTGATTAGGATGCCTCTTGGGTGTCTTCCTTTGGAGGTTTTTTAAGCACATCAAATTAGGAGGAGATGCAGGAGTAGACCCAGAACTCTCTGGAGCGCTTAGACATCTCATCTGGCCTGGGATGTCTTGGGATCCCCCATGAGGAACTGGAGAACATTGCTGAGGAGAACAACAGCTAGAATGCCTGTTTTGACTGAAACCAAACCTTGGATAAGAGGAAGCAAATGGCCAGATTGATGTTTACGTGAAACTGTTAATGAGCCTAATATTTACTTACCCTTCAGGAATCTACTCTCAAACTACCATGAGCTGTAATCAAACACTTGTAAGTAATGCCTTTTCCTCTCTGTTGCCACCTCTCCAGGTATCTCCATCTACCACGACAGCAACCAACTCAGCAGCCAACGCTACCCCGTCCACAGGCTCCTCTGAGGGGGCAAAGAGACGAGGGAAGTCCCCTGGCCAAAAGAAGAAGGGCTCCAAGAGGGCCAGCAGTGCCCTGGGCACCCCGCGACGCAAAACTCAGAATCCCATCGAGGATGACCTAATCTTCAGGATTGGTGAGAAAGAAACAAGGAGACTTGAATGTTTGCTACATTACAACTACTGAAGCTAAAGCTATTTTTAAAGCCTTACAACATTTTACTGGGTTTACTTCTTAAGGCCCCAAATTTGGGCAACATAACCGAACCTGGTTTAGCCTGGTGACTGTCGTAGAGAATGACAACACCAAAATGTAATTAAGTGTTGGTTAAATTAATGAGGCTCAAGGTAAAACCCACAGCACTGCAGTATAAAGGGGCCTCAGGCTGTCCCATGGTCTCACACTGTCCTTAAATGTGTACTATATAGTGTCACACAGGCTAATAAGGTCTTTCTAATTTGTAGTAGTTCAAAGTAGCAAGATGAATTGTATGACTAAAAACAAAAGGCACAGGATTTAAGGATTAAAGACCTGACACCAACTTTAAAGCAAATTCAAAAAGGCAAGACCTTAAAAATGGCTGACCTGACCTGTGGGTCCAATTGCAGTTTCAAGAAACTGCAGCAGGTTAATCTTCAGTTATATACTGTATGATATAATATTTCAGAGTCCCAAGATTTACCGTGTCCACTAGATGCTTGAAGTAATTTTTTTTTTTGCGCTCTTCAGGAACAAAAGGAAGGAATAAAGGAGAGTTCACAAACCTCCAAGGAGTGGCCGCCTCCTCCAGTGGCAGGATACTGATTGCCGACAGCAACAATCAGTGTGTCCAGGTAGAGCTTTTTTTTTTTCTTTCTCAGTCCTGTTGTCTTTAAAGGCAAAAACCCTATGTATAAGTCACAGCCTAAAGAATGCACTATATTGCCAGATTTTCTCCAACGAAGGGGAGTTTAAGAGTCGTTTCGGGGTGCGGGGACGGTCGCCGGGCCAACTGCAGCGCCCCACCGGTGTAGCTGTGCACCCCAGTGGTGATATAATCATCGCCGACTATGACAACAAGTGGGTCAGCATCTTCTCCTGCGAGGGCAAGTTCAAGGTGGGTCGTTGGTAAAATAAACTCAAAAGGTGACTCTAAGCTTCATAAAAACAAACGTTTCAATCTGTTGCGCCTTGTGTGTTGCTGAATTATTCCTTGTCTTACCTGGTTGTGCTTGCTGTCCACCAGGCAAAGCTCGGCTCTGGTAGACTTATGGGGCCTAAGGGCGTGTCCGTGGACCAAAACGGTCACGTGATTGTGGTGGACAACAAGGCGTGTACCGTCTTCATCTTCCAGCTAACTGGCAAGCTCATCACCAAGTTCGGTAGTCGGGGCAACGGTGACAAGCAGTTTGCAGGTAGTGTTGTTTCAAAGTGCTGCCAAAGTATATGCACTGAAAGCAGCTGAGGGACCATGTCAACAATTAAAACAGTTCAAGTGGTTGAAGTGAGAGTTGATGTGTAAATACTGAAAGCTCATCACAGTGTCAAACCAATTGTAAGTTCTGAAACCTTTAAGAGTGAGTTGTGACGCAATTACTGAAAGCAACTGAAGCGTCATTTGGAATATAAAATGGTAGATGAGTTTTGATCTCGAAAAGCAGCTTAAGTTGTACTCAAAAATGTCGAGGTGTTACCAAAGTTGAAGTGCAGTCATTGAAGGCAATTGAAGTTTCTTTTAAGGTGTAATCAAAGTTGATAAAGTGGCAGCTCTGAAAACAGTTAAAGTTTAGCCTGAACTCGGGATGTCTCAACTTCTTTGGCTCCTAATCCGACCCGAGGCATTTACTATTTTGTATCTGCTGATACCAGTGCCATTTTCTGAGGTAATTTATACTTCAAATACTGTCAACTGATTGTAGTTCTAGGCTCAGGCTCAGGTTTGTGTCACTACTTATTACATATAAACTCCGCAACTCTGATCTTGGCATCGGTCTCGGGACATCCTTAAGCAGTGAAGCGGAAATTGTAAACACAGCAGTTAAAATGTAATCATTGTGAACAGCGTGCTTGCTGAAATGCATGAACTGAAAGCACATTCTGTTTCTGTTGTTTCTGTGTTCCTGCCCTGAAGGTCCACATTTTGCAGCAGTGAACAAGAACAATGAGATCATTGTGACAGACTTCCATAACCACTCTGTCAAGGTACTAAACACAGCACAGTCTTCTCTTTCTCATCTTAGTTTCATGTTATATTTTCAGGTAAATATGAAGTGTTTAGCTCATGGATTAGCTAAGAGGCCATCTTTCTCTTTGTGTCTCTGGTCAGGTGTTCACCCCTGAGGGAGAGCTGGTGTTGAAGTTCGGCTCAAACGGTGAAGGAAACGGCCAGTTCAACGCTCCCACTGGTGTAGCTGTGGACATTAATGGGAACATCATTGTGGCCGACTGGGGCAACAGCAGGATACAGGTACGACACTGATGTGCGAGGTTTGTCGACGCGTAATGACGACAAGCTTCTTTTTAGAAAATAACTACGTTTTCTCTTGACTATTTCCAGGTGTTTGATGGCAGCGGCTCCTTCCTGTCCTACATCAACACATCAGCGGACCCTCTGTATGGACCACAAGGCCTGGCTCTGACCTCAGATGGACATGTGGTGGTGGCCGACTCTGGCAACCACTGCTTCAAAGTCTACCGCTACCTACAATGATGGAGGCTTGGATGGAGATGTGAAGCGGGGGCAGAAGAGAGGTGGACAGGGAGGAGGAGCCGATGTTCGATGTTGTTGGAGATACGATGCACAATGTCAAATACGAGGAATTACTGCATGAACCTCTGCCGTTGCCTGTAACTCTGGAGGGAAGCATGGGTAGAGGATAGAGAAAAAAACAAAGGAGGAGGATTCGCTGGGCTGCCACCATCACATTGTCGGAACCGCAATGGAAATATATAATTTTGACACCCGTGATGACTTTGAGATGTCTGAAGGGGGATGACGATCATAGAAGACGAGACGGAATGAAAGAATATGATGTTGTTCTCAAGGAAGAAGTAGAACGGGATGCAGGGGTGACGGAAGTGAAATGCAGCAGCAAATTAATGACGCCAAAGTCAAGAGGTCATTCTTCTGCCAGTTTGGCACGAGTGGAACAATGGAGGGTTGAATGAAAGAGGCTTTAAGAAGACAAAGGAAAAGCAAATGAAGGTTGCAAGAAGAGTTGTGAAACCACTGCTTCCTAAATCTACACTGTAGTGAATGCTGGATAAAGGCGTCAAAGAAGTATCAAAGGCATGAAAATAGAGGATATGAAGTGGAGAGAATGGATTGGAAGATTGAAAGTTTTCTAATGTTCTGCCTTCTCATATTGTATGTAATCCACAAAATAATAGCCAATGAGCTAAAAGAGGTCCGTGACATTACACTGGAAGCTAGAATTGGCAACTAAATCTGCGCTTAACTTTAAACTAGTCGAAGGATGCAGTTGTGTCACGAAACTCAGAGAAATGACTGCATTAATCTGTAAATATTGCTAAAAAAAAATAAAGAAAAAAAGGTCATTTCTTCCAGTCAAATTTGCCGACTCTCAGATGATTATAAAAACTGGTGGACTAAGACATGGGCCACTTTTAGCCTGTTGTGCATTGTTTGTACATTAGGATTGTTTGAATATGGAATGTTTTTTTGTTTCCCATATGCTAGCATTCTTTACAAGTCTTAAGCAATAGAGTCATCATTAGAAACGATTGCTTAACTGTAATTCTGATTGTCTGAGTGATTGACTGATTGGCTTGATTGACTCAGTAGCTTCGACAGGCAGCATTGTCTCTCTATGCTTGGTTTGAGTGTTCATATATTTTTCCTGAAAATCAGCTGCAAGGAGAATAAGTCTATAAATCTATCCTATATATTTGTGAGAATACGTTTAATAATATGTAAAATGCTCAAAGTAATCAACATATTTGGAATCAGTAACATTTTCACACTCGTTTCTGCTCGACATCTCGGTAACAAAAGATAGAAGGTTGGGGGAGGGAACTGGAGATTGTTCGATTCATTCCTTGCCATAGTCAAGGATTTCTAGAATGCTGTGAGAGCTGCGTGAAGTGCTGTCGCCCGCTTGTACAATTCCACATGTTCTGTCAAAAAAAAAAAAGAATACCTCAGTGTTTAAGAAGCATGCCTCTGTTATAATGTGATTGTTGACATCAGACATACCAGATTTCAACTGTAAGCTCCCATTTTTACCAGCTGTTCGCCCGCGCCACAACACGATTAATGCCTCGTTTCCACATAGCAACCAGAACTCTGTTCATGTCTTTGGGGACCTATGTGTTCATGCAGCGCCTTCCCTTTTTTTTTCCAGTCTGAAGTTTGCCTTGAGTTTGTAGAAAAGTGTGAAATTTTCAGGTGGATTTTGGGACAACTGCACTATGCGCCAGGAAGATGGAAAACCAAAGCAGCCAAGTTCAGCTGCTTGATTAAGTTTACAGTAATATTTAGCTACTTTAACGCAATCTACTCGATTAATGTACATAATGCATGTAAGTTTTAACCAAGCCGCCACCTCCAGGGCACAACATTCAGCCAATGCAGAAGTGCCAACCCCTGCAGTTCCTCAGATGACCACCGGACCACCTGAGACGAGCCCCAAAGTGAGTCCATCGCCATTTACGCCGACGTTGAAAAGGCAAACCTTACAGTAGAAAGTACAAAGGTTTTGTCGCGGCAATGCTCATACTCCATAAAACTAGATGGGGTCTTCCGTCGGTCTTTAAAATGATGTATTTCATTGCATTGAACACTAGGGGGCACAGTCCGTATATTATATAAAATCATGGACGCCAAACAAAAGGTGAAAGTGTGCCACTATGTTGGTGCTATGCTAAACTTTGTAGACACACATCTACCTGTTGTGGCAGTGTGCTGCCAATTGGAGGCAGCTTAAAAAAAACAAAAAAACGTGGAAATGGAGGCTACCCTTGTTCCTGTTTGTGCTGTAGTTGGTCTTTTTAATTTTGCCCGTCCTGCAGAAAAGACAGAAGTCATTAGTCATGTTGTCATCTATGAGAGGAGAAATGAGAGTTCACTAGTAAGTGGTTTCAGTCAGGAAAGTTGCATTTGTTTTTATTCATGTCAGCTGGAAATGGAAAGAAACAGAAACAGTCATGTGGGTTTGCTACGACAAGACTTCCTCAGAAAAGGTGTCAGAAATCATCTCAAGCACGCTTAAGATGTTTGTCAACAAGAACTTGAGCAAGATTTTTTCATGTCCATGAATTTTTTAATGCCATTCTTCAAAAATAGTAATAAAAAAACACAATAGAAACTCGGCTATAGCAGAGTGTAGTGACGTGAAGCTGACTCCCATCTGCAGTCACAAGCGGCGCTAACGAACACCGCATTGTTCGTCTTACCGCCAGTACCCCTGTCTGGTTCAGGGCACCTTCGTGCGTCTCCATGGCCTCTGCATTGGTTGAATTCACATAATGCTTCGCTGTTGTGTGCGTCGAGGGCTTCACAAATGGACACCAACAGGAAACCGCATATTCCCCTAAAGCTGTGTGGAAACGAGGCGAACAACAGCGACCAGTTGAGGACATGAAACACCTGTGAAATTCCAAAGCATTTACTCGTTGCTCTGTAAGAGCGCTACGTGATTTAACAACACAGAGCATTTACACGAGCTACTGACGAGGCAAGAATCGCATTTAAGTTACGTACATCATCATTGAGTTGGACAGTATTAACATATATGAACATGAAAAGCACCTCTGTTGACTACCAGATGCTTGTGATCGCAGAAGTGTTGTCCGATCAGTTATTCACGTAACATTCAGTTTTTATTGAATGAAGAACGAAGAGGAACAACAATGACAAAGTTCACAGCTGGATCAAAGATTTTTATTTTAAAGTTATTTATTACGTCTATTTATTATTTATTTATTCGAGTAGCTGTGTTAATCTTGCCATTTGATTGTGTTCCACCATGTGCATTGAGATTCTTAAGTGCCCATTATATTTCTTCTTTTTGTACATTTCATCTAAATACGATTGTGGTGACTGTTATGTGTGTTTATTCAAGTTTTACTCCTGCTGTTATTTTTATTTTTATTTTGTTGCTGTTGTTTTTGTCAAATTGAAGTTGTCATGCTGTGGGGCAAAAATACTCAAGCTTGCCAGTTGCCTGGAATAGCTCGTTAGCGCTTCATTTCTGATCAAAACCAAACGCTCAGAAAGCTAATAAGTGACCTGTAGTACAGTACAATGATCGAATTGATACAACGGTTTGCTTTTCAGTGCTAAAACTGCCAGTTCTGTATGTCGTTACAGGCTAACTTTGCTCATTCTCGCCATTGGTGTAGATGCTGAATGCTCATCACTTTTACATATAGCGAAGATGTTATAGTTTTTAGGGGGGGAAAAAAGACAAAAAAACAGGAGACAAGTGCATGTTCAGTAGAAACAATAGGTTCAAATGAAAGTTCATGTTGTTTTCTCATTTATGCCGTCTGTTGAAAGTATTTTTTCGACTTTGTTTTAAGCGCCCAACAGTCCCGCTGAGGCTTGGATTTTACTCGTCAACGGCGAGCTGGGAGGAGGTTTTTTTTTTGATTTGTTGGCACTTATTGATTGTTTCAACAAAATCAGGCCTCGTTTCTTCAAGTAGTGCAGGCCTTGTTTGCTGGATATTCAGCCTTAATGTCAGTAATACATATGAATGTCTTTTCAAAGTCGATACGGTGGAACTGCCTTCTCGGCAATCTTGATTTAAAATTTTACGCAAACATACAATAAGTAAGAGTTAGTTAATAGCCGTCTCAAGCATAAATAGATTAAATTGGAGGTTACACATCCGTTTGAGGTAGCTTTTGTTGTGCTAAGAAAGTCTTCTGGCTTCTGTGAGTGCGTGTATGAGTTTCTATCTTGAAACACATCAACATTATATATTGGTTTGTTTGTTTTTTTCCTCAAATGGAAACGTGGTGTTTCAGAAAACAGCTCAGTCCTTTACAGTCAGTCACTTGCCTGCTCTTTCTCTCTCTGTAATTACTATCTGTCATGTCTGTTCACTGTTATGGGCTATCTCTTAATGTTCACACACACTCAACTCTGAAATAAAGCATTGATTCCTACATGCCAGTCGCTTGCTGTGGTTGGGTTTTGTGAAAATTCTGCATATTAAATTTGCCATTTGATGTATTCAAGGAGTCACACTCATTCTGAGAGTTTGCGCCTCTCTGTGTGGGACGGTGTGATACAGGATCAACTGCGAGTCGCCTTCTGTACACTTTAAATTATGGGATGGCATATTTAGATACGAGCACTGCACATGTCTACGCTGATGTCTTATGTTCTAAAGCTTGAATCAGACGCCTGGTTGTTGAACAGATGCAACTTGCTTATGACAATCTCCAGGGATAACCTAAAAATAACAAACGAAAAACAAAACAAGAGAAATTTAAATTCACAGAAGAAACACACCAACCAGTCTCTGTATCATCCAACAGTTCACAATTATTCATCTTTAATTTTAAAAAGATTTTTTTTTAAATAAAAAAAATTCTGTTCATTTTTTCAAAATCATTTCAAAAGGCTTTAAAAAAAAACACACAAAAAAACTATTTGTCTGTTTGTGCCTTGTTTCCAGATACAAGCTGATAAAACCAAACTCCAAAAGGTCTTTGGTTGTTGAACATTTCATTTTTTTT